TTAGAATAATGTTAAGATAGAATTATATTTCAGTAATGTAAATATAAAATTACATTTCAATTTTATAGCACTTTTATAAGAAACAATATTTCGTATACATTTCATTACCTTCCCCTAATTTTCTTTGTTTTGAATACAATTTACCAACTTACAAGATTATTTGTGGCGATTTTGTGGTGCGTGCATTAACGAATTATGTGAGGGATAAGACGCCATCCACCCCTATCTCATATTAATTACAGCTAACTATAGCAGAGGGGGTGAATAAAAATGCATTTTCAGTAAGTTTCGTTAGAAAATATTGAAATTTTTCACGTACTAACTAATATTTTTTTCAATTGAGAGGATCATATCTTCCTTTGATCGTCTTCTAAATAAAAATACATAATCAATAACTAGCGTACCTGCGCGAAAACTCTCTTTTAAGAAAACCTGGCTTCCCCACCCCTTTCCTTCCATATCGTTATCAAGAAGGAAAATGTCGAGGGAAAAGTGTTTTAATATAATTGCAGATACTGCACGATTCTAAATTGGAGATACTATGTGCCTACACTCCCCACAGAGTTCGTGTATCCTGAAGAGCATACCCACCTCCCCCAGAATGTAATACAATGTACCAAAAAATCTCACGTAATAGATTATGGCATCAGTAACACATCTCAAAATCTCATGTAAATTAAGACAAGACCGTTTTCAAATTATGGACGATAGATGACCAGAAACAGTTGGGAGTAATTAACTAGATTGCATTGGCGGCTGTACTCAATACAATTTTCGCCAAAAATTACGATTTGTAAAAAGAAAATGCAATCCATCGTCTCTAGACAAATTATCTTCGTTAAACCGGGCGAGGTTCCTCAGGGTATCAACTGATGTCACTGCAGTGCCTCTGACCGGGAGGTCCTAGGTTTGAGTCCCGACCGGGGCATGACTTTCGACTAACTAGATAGCCAGATCGAGTTCTTTCGCTGTGTAGAGGAGAATTCTTGCTGATGGCTGCTTTGATCGATAGTTTCGTGGTTTCTCCTATCAAAATCAGGCCAATGCCGGAGCAGCCCTAGCCAGCGGGCCACGGACCGCGCAAAAGCTTTCCTTCCCACCCTACCCCTTTCTTACACACGCGCACTTGCAAGTACTTCACTGCCACACATGTCGGGAGACGGGTCGGGAGCTTAGAGCTTGTCCCGGCTGGGGCGGTGCCTCGCTGGTAGGAGATACCTCGCAGGGGAAAACCCCGCTAGCCTACTAGCAGGCTACTAGCCTACTAGCAGGCCCCCGCTAGCAGGTCGGCGCCGGATCTCACCATCCAACGGAGGGAAATCACCCCCACCTCTCGAACAAAAAACATGCCCAACTCTTACGGCACTAATGACCTTCGCAGTTGACTCGCCCGGAATCACTAATTAATCAATAAAAAAATATTCGTTAAGATTGGATGGTTGTAGGAGCCTCAAGACGTATCTATATAAAAATAATGTACTCATAGATCACCTTAAGAATAAATTTATATTATTTGACCATACAATTTTATTGATATGAGCGCATTATGGTTCATATTCTTAAAATTCAAAATGAAGACCGTTTCTAATTTCCTGGCTAATGTGGTGGTCCCAAGAACCCCATCCTTTCGTACCAAGTACCAATTTCAGCATCATCTTAGCTCTGGTTCAAAATAAACCTACCAAATTATACAAGTTTCCCAAACTTGCTTCCTTCGAAATCGCATTTATGAAATGGGAAAATCAACAAAAACAACAATCGTCTACATCAATTTCTTCTCAGTGAAAATAAAATATTTTTTGTAAATGCCATATTTCTGTGTTTTGATAAGACAGTGTTTTTCCCGATATTTTAAATTTCAAAAACTGGTTGTGTGGATTTCAAAATTCTGTGAACCACAACAGTATTACTTGATACATTTTTACTTTCCCATATTCATACATATATAAGCATGAAAAAACACGAAGTTTAGAGAAAGTTATGTAATGCTGCGGAAAATCGATTTCGAGATTTCAACGGAAATACTCGTTTTGGGGTACCTGATAACGAAAAAGTGTGTTTTTTTTTCGAAACGTCCGTCTGTCTGCCCGTCTTGATAAACACCACTAGCACCTAAACCATACGTGCGAATTTTTTTTCAAAAAGGGTTTTCCCCGAACCATTTGGATCCACTCGAGACGCCGCGATTTTGAAAAATATTCTTTAAAATTTGGAGGTACTTTACATAAAGCCCCCCGGACATATCCAAAAGTTTCTCAAGAACGGCTTCAATTTTTTTCTTTAAATTTCTTGTAAGAATAGAGTAAAACAACGTATAAAGATGGCATATGTCCGATTTTCATTGTTAACTCTGAAATTTCGATAATTGCAAAAGTTTGAATTTTTTGCGTCTTCCTATAACTACAAAATAGATGATACAAAGTCACTTTTTCCTTCAAATACATTTTGTTCTCGTTAGTTCTTTCAATAATGTCATGTATATTGTTTTGAAAACTTTAGCAGTCTTTTAGCAATATTGCGTGCAATATTTGCAATTTAAAAAAAAATTACAAAAACAAGACTTTCTCAAAACGGCTCAAAATTGATTCTTTAAACTTTTGATTAGGATTGTTCTAAATTTACTCTATAAGATGACATAAACGCCATTTTTGAAGCAATTTTTTTTGACTTGTAACTCACGTCGTAAATATTAACATTCGCGGAAATTTGCTCACATTAATTTAGTTATGAGCACATGTGCTCTAAATAATGTCAAATAACATTTTTCGGAAACAGCAGTTTTCTTTAAAAATGAGCTCAAAATTCCGCATTTTCAGAAACACTCAAACGCCATTTTCTCAAGACTGGCTCAAACTTTTTTCTTCAAACTTTTCCAACGGATAGTGCTAATTACGCTGTTTAAGATGACATATAATTAATTTTGCTGTATTTTTTGTTTTTTCAAAAATTACACAAAGGTAATTTTTTTGAAAGATCTCTCACACCTTTAAGATGCACATTTCCTGCAGTTTATAAACACTATTGCATTTGAGACTGAAACTGCTTTAGAAAGTGCTTCAGATGAGGTTTTTCGAAAACTCAATAGTTTTCTGAGCAAAAAGGTTCAAATTTCGAATTTACAGTAGCGCTTAAACGCCATTTTCTTAAAAACGGCTCCAAATTTTTCAAACAAAATTGCCATTTAGGACGAAGTTTTACTGCTCTTTAATGTTCTCCAAATAATATTTCCGTTCAACTATTAGGAAACCGAAAAAAAATATTAAATTTTTAAAAAAAATGTACTTTGGGCGGCGATAAATGACAGCTAACAAGAGTATGTGGCAAGCTTGAATTGCTACCGAGACCACAGGAAATAGAAAATTAATAGGGGAAAGTTTGTGCCATTCTGTAGCACTACTAGTTATTTATATTATTAAACAAGCAAATTCACTGCTTCCAATATCCAATTATTAGTTCAATAATTATTAATCCAACAATTGCAAATTTCAATTACATTAACATTTTACGAAATGTATTACTTTATACGACTATCGATCTCATTATCTATGTCTCCCATATGTCTCTCATCTACATCTCCTACTTTCAGTTCGGACTTAATAAAATGATTAAGTAAATTTACTTATTGAACGTTTGAGCAAACAAATAATGATATGACCAACAAGGTACAGTCATGTGTGTAACAACTGTAGGTTGAAGCCACGTGAGTCGTGGGTTTCCGTTTTTTTCAAAGCGAGCGAAAAGGTCTAGAAATGCTACAATGAAATTTTCCCATAACACTTTATTTTCCCATGACACTTTCCCTGAACATATAAATAACTGTCTCCAATAATGCTCCTAACCAGGGTACATCACGCTCCTGAATGATTTCGCATAAATATGCGATATCTGTCTATGAATAATATTTTCGGTTTATACTTCTTACATTATTTATTCTGGTGTTCTCTTCTCCAGAAAATGGCATTCTATGTACAGCGAGAGCCCTAGAAACTGCAAAGAATTAAGCGCTTATTCTTTGCTTCGTGCACCCTGTAATTTTGACAAAAAGTGGAGGATATTACCTACAGATTATTACATTTTTATTTAAATGGTAGTAAAAATATCAAAATATTCACTTACCAATGAAATAAATAATCATTAAAAAATCAAAATCTAACAAAAGTCTCTCAAAAAATCTCTCTCTCTCTCTCTTCTCATTAAAATTGGGTAATACTGCTATAGAAACTAACCCATTGTTAAAAATATACTGGTTTTAACTATTGAAATTAATATTTAACCTTAGGTGTAATACATCTTCTTTAATTCCAAGCGTATATTTTTAACCGTCTTCAGGAACGCAAAGAAATATTACTAATATGTCTGGTTGTGGATCTTTTACTACGTTCGTTCTCTCCTAAAATTAAAAAAGGTACTCGATCAGGTTACGATGAAGTAGTCACAACATTACATCGTATTGATTCAAGAGTATCATAAGTTAGAAGTTATTGATTTTGCTTTGGAAATAATTTTAATTCAGGAAAAATATAAATGTCTTGCGAATTAAAATGTTAACAAAAAGTCCGCGTATTACCAGCGTATCACCGGAGGTATGAGGCCAAATAAAAGTGCATTTCACTTTCAATTTTGCTATTATTGCAATCAATACTGTAGAAAGTCTACAATTCTGAAATGAGCAAAAGAATGAACGGCGACGTGCGAAGATATGTTTTTTCTTCGGCAGGGAAGAAAAAAGTGTTTTTTTGTTACGTCTCCTTAAAGTACCTTATCTAAGATTGAATCAAGATTACGAAATATTGGAACGGGTGACCTAGTTGAACTTCAAATCATTTTAGTATAAAGATATTATTTTCAGCGATTTTTATATCAAACGATAATCCAATTCTTTTTGGTTTGTATGATTTGTATGTTGCCGCCTCCAAAATCCCCACGTCTTCAGTCGCTGTGAACGCCACCAACGGAAGGAAATGGCACTACAATCATGTTGTTATTGCTGTGCTGCCATCTGCAGATTGTGTGTAGGAAGCCACGTCACTTTTAGGTGTTGTGGTAATTTCAATAAATAGCATACAATGAATATATTTCGCCTTGTGGGAGATATATCTCATCTTCTAGCTATCATCATATTGTTGTTGAAAATATGGAAAACGCGTTCCTGTGCAGGTATTTAAGACTAAATTTATGATAAGTTGGATACAGAACCTATCTGCCGGTAAGATGACGTGCTAAGGTTTATCACTTCATAAAAGTTGTTTTATAGTACTCATGCATGTACGTATGGTGATCATGATGTGTTTGATTTAGTATTCGAGTTTGTTTAGTCAATTACAGGACTTAGTTTGTCCGAAATCAGAGGTCAGTGACACTGGTTTCATAAACTGCATTCTTTTTTTTTTGGTTCATGTGCTCGCGTAGTAGACTATTGCCATGCTATATTATTAGTTTTAAGTTTACGTTCCATTCTGCCTTTGAAATATTATCAATTTTTCATGTTTTAGATCACTTAGTATTGACTATCTGAGCAGTTTATCTGCTTGCCACCTGTCACATGCTTGCACCAATTTTCTTGTATATTGGGAGTTGGATTATACCTATTTATGAAATAATTTTGTTGTTTTTCAGGAATTTCAGGAAAATCTCAAATTTTGTTTGCTGTTGTATACACAACACGTTATTTGGATCTTCTGACGACTTACATTTCGGCTTATAATACATTCATGAAAGTTGTCTTTATTGCTGCCTCATATGCAACAGTTTACTTAATGTACCTCAAGTTTAAGGCAACTTATGATCATAATCATGACACTTTCAGGTAATATAATTACTAGAGAACTATAGTCTTCTTCATTCAAATTTCAAGAGGAATTCAAAATGCAATCCAATTACTCTGAATTTCAGTTTACTAATACTTATTTTATGGGGGGAAATGCCATTATTGAGGGTAAGGATCAAGCCATAAGGTCTACTCCTTCTCCTCAACAGTTTTTACTTGGCGAAATTACTTTTGAACTGTTCTGAGAAAGAATTTCATTGGAAAATAAACACTTCTGAATAATCTCAATCTGTCATGTATAATAGAAACCAAATACTATTGTTATAATTGTCGGAATATGTTCTAAATATAATAATGATAAACTAAAACAATTTTTATTTTTCAGAATTGAGTTTTTGATTATACCTGCAGTTGCTCTTGCTTTACTTATCAACCATGATTTCACAGTTCTTGAGGTTTGTATGGGCAAATAACATTCTAAGTTATTCTTGTGAAGCTTCAATAACAAATATTTTTAACTTTGGTCTTTTTCAGGTTTTGTGGACTTTTAGTATCTATTTGGAGTCAGTTGCAATTTTGCCTCAGTTGTTCTTAGTTTCAAAGACTGGGGAAGCTGAGAGCATTACATCTCATTATTTGTTTGCTCTTGGCTCTTACCGTGCTCTCTATCTTCTCAATTGGATCTATCGTTACTATTTTGAAGATCATTATGATCTGATTGCTATTGTTGCTGGTGTGGTACAGACTGTCCTTTACTGTGATTTCTTCTACTTATATATCACTAAAGGTTAGTATTCCATTTCTTAATATGCACTTATATTTTGCTCTTAAATAGTCGTAATTTATGTTAGTGTCTCTACAAATGTAAACCTTTGACAAAATTAGAGAAACCAACATCCTGTGTGATTTTTTAGAATGAGGGGAAAGGTTGATAGAAAAGACTTTTGTAAATTACGATAATATATCAGACCAATGTATTAGGTAGAAATACAGGGACAGTGTTACTCAAAATTGCTATTTCTTCTCTGTGACAGATTTTCTTGAATGGCAAATGAAGCAAGATCATAATTATTATAGTAGAATTTTGTGTTATTATTACACATTGTTTATGTTGAATACACCTTAGGAATATATTTTTAGTCCACAAACAGTTGCTTTTTAGGTTTTTCTTAACCTTTTTATACAATTCTTAAAATTTAATTTGTTTTTATTAATGAAATTGTCCTAGATTGGTAATAATGCACATTAAAATATTTTGTTCATAGTGTTATTTCACAAGAGACTAGAAGTAATTAATTTCACTTGAAAAATCCATCATATATTATCTGATAAAGTACTTTGTTTTATACCTCTTTGAAGTATTTTTGCTCTTTTTGAAAGCTACATTTTTTTGTGAGATAACAGTAATGCTGAATAATTTAGAATCATGCTTCCCAATCACTGTGTGATTGCTAATTTCAGGGTGCTCTAATATTTACAACTTTTTGTCAAAGCTTGAAATTTTGTCTTTGATCCTTGTCACTATACTTTTCCGAGCATTTTTCTCGGGTACAGCTAGGCGGATACTCAACTGTGATGTAAAGTTTATCAACATAAATTCATTTGGCAATGAATGAATGAATGAATTAATTTACAAAGTATCCCAAGAATCTAGTACTTCGTTATTGTTAATTATATTCATCACTGTTCGTTTATGTGTGTCAGTGCTTGTTTGGTCATAAGTTAATGGAAAATGTAATTACATTACGTAACTAAAGAAATAGTGAAAGGTATAATTTCTTGAAACACAAGCTTAATGTTTTACTAAAATAATTTTTCAAATAATGGAATTAACATTAAGAATATGAATAGTTTGCCAAGTGGGGTAAGGGTCTTCCTGAAAATTGTTTCTATGTTTTCAGATATTGCAGGGCATAAAATTCAGGAGAATAAATTAGAGACTCCTAGATAATAAGTAGTTTACTGGCCTAATATTTTCATAGATTTTTAATTCCAGTTCTCAGAAGTTAAGAGAGTGCTTTTAGTTTTAATTGTTCCCAAAAAGTTTGTTTATGGCTTGTGGATTGTTGTATTACTTTGTTTTAATGCAGAAGTGATTAGTAATTACATTGCTTATTGCATAATTGCTCTAGCTTCATTAATCTCTACATAAGTCTGTATGCCAAAAAAAGGGGGAATTTACATTCAAAAAATTTTGAAGACATTCTAGGCAATTATATCTTGTGATTGGGAAGAGTATATTCAGAAAAAAGTCATCAATTTTAATTGTATATCCTGTATGATTATTGTTTTCAATGTACATTCTTAATGCTGGCAAGTAAATATAACATTTACTTTGAAACATACACTATACCCAATCAATGTACATTAAGCATAAAATGTATCATAACCTAATTTTGGATTTTAATTTGACTGATGTTGTGAAGCAGTGCTTTTTTTAATCCAGTAAGTAACTTAAATTGAGAAAAATTAATAAAGTTTTGGATATATTTTTTTGTCGTGCATTAGTTATGAAAATTTATTATCTTGTTGTGAATTTTAATTTGTACCGTTGAATGTGAAATGAAAAACATTTGTATTAAAAAATACATATGGTAGGTACTGAGATTTCAATACGATTTGTTTGTGTTTTTTCAGTGTTGAAAGGGAAGAAACTGCAGTTACCAGCTTAATGTGTTACTGACCTGATCAGATGGATTATCAGTGTAAATTAGAGCTGATATGTTCATATTTAAATGGGAGACAAAAATAGAATGAGTGTTTTTTAAGAGAAGAAATTTGTGTGCTAAGCAGATTTTTTTCTGTTGAGAAAGAATCTGCATTATGTATTTGTATAGAAATGCGCTCCACCAAATGTGGCTCCATTGTCCATTTATTGCTGCATAGTTTGAAGTCAATTTTATCACTTCATTTCATATTTCATTCAGTAAAATATTTGTTTGATTGAATCATTTAATATGTGTATTGTTTCTTTCAAAGGCAGCAAAACCAAGAGCTTTAAGATGCCTACAAAGATTGTTCTGTATTATTTGTGTTAACATTATATGTCAATATTGAAGTATAAAATGGAAACGTTGTATATTCTTGTCTGCTAGTTTTCTTCTATTTGGTTTGGGGATTTATGAAAGTATGAAGTGTGATTTCAGTATTGATAAAAGATCATATCAACATAGGTTCTACTGTTTCTTCCATTGACTTATTTGTAACACATTTGTGATTATATAAGACTTGCCATAAATAACTGCAATTCAAAGAGAACTATATTGAATTGCATAATGCCCTGAGGAATGGAAATATTTAGAATACACCATGTAAATGATTTGATAATAAAAAAATCAAATTCTAATTAGTTACTGTACAAGATGAAGTGCAAAAAAACTTTGCTCTTAATTTTTATTTATTTCTTTTTGTGTGCGAATATTTGAAAATATAATTTTTCGGTGCCAAGGAGATGATATGATGCATCAGTGTTTTTGTCCATATTGTGTGAATAATTTGGTGGCATAAAAAGGAGAGAATCCTTCAGGGAATAGGTAATCTAAATATGAATTTGTATTGTTTATGTAAGAGACAGTAAGTTGATAATAAATATTTTCATTTTATTGCAAATAAAATTAACACATGTTTAATTTTCATGTTTATTATACACAGTTAAATTAAATCTTCACTAATACAAGTGCTCTGCACATTTTTTTTAATATGTAGTTTAGAAATACACCCACTTTGTGCCTTGAAGCTAATAAGTGTAGGTTGACACCTGTACAAATGGAGAAATGTTTTATAAAAATTCTTTGTCACATTTAATTTTACACATTTCCCCTTAGCAAAATATTGTCTGTAGCGTAGGTACTTACAGTTGATTTCTCATTGTTCTCATATGAAATGACTTTGCATTATTTATTTAACTAATCATTTTACTCATTCAGTTTGTTACCAAAGGATTAAATCGTTCAGCATTAAAATGAATTTTGCAATGGGTAAAATGACTATTTTGACATGCTATTTTTTTCAGATGAGGTCTTTGGAGAAATCATTAATGCAGCATATTAAAGCTCCTAGGGCATTGGTTTATTAATTTGAAAGAAATAAGAATTCTAAAAGTTGAATTTCATAATTGTCTATTGCATTTGATGTAAAATAAAATATGCTAGACTGGAGTCACTTTTGAGTCATGTTCAAATGAACTTGAGAATTATTGTAATATTTCATGTTTCTGAGTGATCCTCAAGAGCATTCCTTTCTAGTGGGTATTCTATTTCAGTGATGCCTTCTAGTTACTGTGAGATACTAACCTGTATGTACATTTTGAATGTTTGTATTTCAAGTACCCACTAAGGTGTAATTCTTATGGCAGTGAGCAAGTTGCATAGTACAATAACAAGTGTTTGTTTACCAGTCTGCTCTTTATTTTGATGTGCATTGATAGAATTTATTTTTCAAGAATTAGAACTGCATGAAAGATTGTCGTTTTTATTTCTGTAGAATTTTATTAAGCTTGTAATGTTGGCAATTGTTTTACTTTTCTTAACATAGCTGAAGTTTGTTAAATTTTGTGAGAAAAATTACTTGAATATTGTTTGAGACATAACATGTTCTGACAAATAAAGAAATGAATTTAATCATTTGTTTTACTATTTGGACACAGAATTTGATTTCAGGGAATCATTCAATGTATTGTACAATATAGAGATGTGAGGCACTGTGATGTCACATATATCACTTGTAAATTTTTACTATTGATTTGTAATATATTACAGAGATGTCTGTTTTGAATGTAGATGTGTATGGCCTGAGCGCACATTAATTGAACCTATGTAGGTTCCTCACAACTGGTGTTTTAAACAAAAAATTTCCCTTGTTTAAGTAGTTTGAGCCCCATTACATGCTTCTATTGTAACAAATTCAGTGGGCTCTTGAAAAATTTTATTGTGAAAATTCATCTACTGGTAGGTAGAATTAATTGTTTCTAGCTTGTGTAAAATGTACTGCAGACCCAATGGTAAGGTTTTTATGAAATTAAATTATTGATATTCATCATGTAAAAAATTCTAGATAAATCATGATAAAAGTACAATTAAGTGCTTATTTAGAGGGGCAAGTACATGCAAAGATATTTAACAAAAAATTCATCAATTTAAAATATTTTGTTATTATGAGCCATAGCAAGTTTGTCATGTAATATGAAATAACTTTGTTAATTTTTGTCATTCCTGACATTGCATGAGTATTTACATGTTTTCTGTCAGTATGTATTGTTTTTGTGCATATTAATTGCCAAGATTATGCAATAAATAATAAGTGCACATTTTTATATCAGCATTGTTTCATTGTTTCTAACATCATGACCTCAGAGCACTTGTATACAATAGTACACACTGATACTTTTCACTGACTTCATCCTCATTATTTGTGCTTTAGTTAATGTGAAATTATATAATTTGCTTTCTTAACTACAAAGTAAAGATGTAATCACTGATGGCAACTGTTCCGTAAGCTTTGCATGGGTTAACCATATGAGTAATTGTAACTTATTTTCGAAAAAGGTATGTCAATCAAAACCATTCAGATAAATATACTGTGATTAGTGCAACTGTCAACAGCTGATACCTGCCAGGGGCAGAGTTGCAAAAATCATAGTATAGTCTTCTAAGTTTTGGCAGCATTTAAATGTATATGTTTAAAATGTAAATGAACTCAACAGTCAAATACATGAAGCTTTAAGGTTTCCTGTCTGGCATCAGAACAAGTTGGTTTCCAAGCTAAGGTATCATGGTCTAATGGGAAATTAGTTTTCAGAAGTTTTGTCAACACTAGTGGTGAAAGTCTCTAGCAAAACCATCTATTTGCAGGCCACTGGCAAAATAATTTCACTTTAGTACACACAACAAGTGACTGGCAGGTGTGGACTTAACACCTGGAAATTCATTTTCAATTGAGCCATTAGTATGGAAATCAGCTCATATTCAATAACCAATTATTTAGATTTGGGCACAAAATTGAAACAAGTGATGGACAAGCTTTCTTAACCCTTGAATGGCTGAGTGGGGGACCTGAGGTCCTCTTGTTCTCTTCTTTTCCTCATGATTAACTGAAAAAAGATAGAAGTTTTGTCTTGCATGTATGTAAATATTCATTTATTTGGAAGATTTTAACACTTTTTATAATAATACTATTTTTGGATTACATAGAAATGAAATTGCAGGGACTCAAGGTACCCCTCATTTGTCTTTTTGTTGTAAACACTTCGACATTCTAATTTACATTTCTGTTATATTTTGTCATTGATTCATGATTAATACAACACTATTGTGTAAAAGAAACTTTTCAGTGGTGGTAGCTAGCGGTTCTTTTGTTTTATTCTCCATGCAGCGTTTTACATTGTCAGTTGTGTTGCGTGTGATGTAAGAAACTTATTTCCGACAGCTATGAGCAAATGCGATATTAGACAGTGAATAATAATTTAATATATTTTCTAAAAGTTCTCTATAAGTGTGTCTCAAGTGTTTTTGCAATGATAATGTGAAATTACAAATGTTTAATGCAACAATTATTCCAAAGGTGATTATGCTTTAGCATACTCTGCTATTTATGTTATTTTCTCAATTTTCCAATGTATTGGAAAATATATACCAAATTTACACAAATGTTCTTGTACAATATTGTAAAATGATGAACAATACACATATGAAAGCAAATACTATTTAAACAAAACAGTATAACAGTTTTTGGTAACAGCTTTTGGAAGGGGTCACTTGGGTCTCCTACACAAACAGTTATGTTTCAATATTATGCTTAGCCATGCAAGGGTTAAACGATAGACTTTTATTCATATCTTGATTGTTCCACTTCATATATTAATTTATTGAATTATCTCAGTTTTAGAAAATATTTTATTTTTAGCATGGACTTGATAACACGGAGACGAACTAGACACATTGGAGGAAATAACAAAATTATTTTACAGATTAGTAATGAAGAGATTAAAAATGTTAAGAGAAAATATTTCCTAAATTATTAGGTGTACATTGAAAATTAAGAATAATGATTTCCTACTCATTTGATCATAGATCAAATTGCAAACCCAAAATAATAAGGCATTCGCTTCCAGAAATATGTTTTAATTTTGAAGAATATAAATACAAAAAAAATATAACAATCATAACACTTCTTAAATTTAATTTTCACATTCACTAAAATGTGTAATAATCATTTATTAGTCCCATATTCCTCGTATTGAAAGTGAAATTTCTTTCAAAAAACGTGGATGTTTTGGCAATTGTGTTTATCCTCCATAAATCTCGGGATTGTGTCATCATTAATTCACTCCACATTTATTTTGAATCATTCAATCCCAACATTCTTTCGCACTATTCTTTATTTTAATTTGTCACTGATAAATTTAGTTTCATTTTTCTCACAGTTAATGAAAATTCTGATTCTCCTACTTGGTCCAATAAATTCCTCCATTCTTCATAAATCTCAGTAAGATTTTGTCACAAAACACTTTCCATTTCTTGCATTAATAGTTCTTATACAGCTGCAGCATGTACTTCTTTAATTCAGTTATATGAACTTGCTCCTGAAAAGATACAAATATGGTTTAGTTGAACAACAAATCATTTTTATAAGGGCAATCAAACAATTTTCAACTACTTACTTTCAAAGTTGTATCACGGCTTCTCAAAGCAATAATTCCATTTTTAAGAGTGGAATCATTCATTACCACAGTGTATGGTATTCCTATCTCATCATTTCGAACAAATTGTGATTCTAGAGACTTCTTTGAAGCATCAGGCAACAAGAGAGTTGAGATTCCCACAGATCGCAACTGCTTTGTTAAAAATTCAGCTAATTCACAAAGATCAGAGCAAGTAGATGTGGCTGCAAACATTTTTTAAAAATTAGAATATGTAAAATAATTAACTAGTAAACACAAAAATTACAGGAACTTACTAGAGGAAGATATGGAGAAACTAGCTTTGTAGGGTGCAATTTTTCGATGAAATCTCATCACTTTTCTTGAGAGATTCATACTTGTAGATTCATCATAAGCATCACACAAAAAAGTGATTACAGCATTTTCAAGACTAAAAGAACTAATTAAAATGTCAGGAAAGATTTTTTTACGCCCTTGCTTGAGCTGAAAATATTCCAATATGTACAAATGTTAATATTTCAATATACCCCAATACTAGAACAATGGCATCCCAAGTTTTTCTTACTTGAAAAATGTGTCTAGTATCTAAATCCAAAGAATCAAACATTCCAGATGTGTTCAAACAGATTGTTTCTACCACACGTTTTCCCCATCCAAAATCAGCAAGGATTTGAACTTGACTTGAACTGTTCTGACTATGCACGTCAGTAAGGGTGAAACGTCCTGGGCAAGCTGAAATCTGCAGAAAAATTGAATAAATTCACATCACTCATGAAATGACATCCAATAGCAAATATAACATACCTTTGTCCACCATGCTTTTTGAGATTGTTGCCATTCATCAAAATACTGTGTGCTATTTTCAGGATTAAGAAACATATATGTTTTCAATATAGTTTGATTATCATCACATTCAAGTTCTTTGTGGTCACTATCACATACATCTACACCCGATGTCTGGACAGCAATGCCAAATGGTAAATGGTCAGAAGTACATAGTTTTGCATGAGTGAATGGTTCAATTAGTTCTGCAACATACATTTCAAATCAGTTATATCTATCAGAATTTCTAAATCGACAAGAATGTCTGGAAATAAAACAAATGAATTTCAATTCTGAAAATGACTTAAAACAAGAGATCTCAACAAACTAAATGTTCAGGTTTCATGCATTAAAGAAATTTGCATTCACTGACAAGAATGAAGAAAAATAGTGTCCTTCTGGAGTCAAAATTGTGCAGTTCTTTGTTTCTTCCTTCAGAATATATGTGAATGAAATGACAATTTACTAAAATGTGTTGAGAAGGTGAGCTACACAAATTTTACCTCCACTGTGTAGCATTCAAGCACTTCATTGAACTGACTAAAACAATTTACTTAAATAATGAATACACTTTTTCAGTTTTGTGAATGAGCATTCTCTCACTTGATCCCTCAATTGAAAATTATGATGAACCAAGCATTAATTTTGTTGAATGTAAATATATATTTACGTCTTTTAAATCTCAAGAAAAATGTACATGTAGATACACAATACCTTGTCCCCTAGTTAAATTATATTTCAAATCAAAATTATTTGTTCAAATATTTAATTCTTAATTATTGTAAAATAAGATCTTTTAAACATAACAAATAAGTATAACCATGTTTTCATTTTGGCTGAAGTTTAGTATACAGTACAACCTAAGGAAGTTGTTTAAACAGGCACTTCGTGCCGCTACGGCAAAGGGGAAATCCACTGTGGAGGGGACAAGGGGTGTTTAGGGGAATCTTTCGGTGGGGAGGAGTGGTGAGCAATATGCGTAACTTGGTACATATATATAAAAAGCAAAGTGTGGGCAGTGTTGTGGGTAATTTGAATGTGAAGATTTTCTTGTGCAGTACTACAAGTTCTTAGTACTATCAAGATTGCTTACCACTAATATTTCCCGATAAAGATCCAGTAAAATTGTATGGAAATACATTCTCTGTTCTGATAAGATCAGTTAATACCCGTTCTTGGTAAATATTGTTGCGAAGAAGTTCTCCAGGAGGTCCAAGTTTTAAATGCCTAAGCGATTTGTTCACAGAGAATCTTGCAAAAAAGTGTCTGTCACAAATTCCTAATATCTTTTCTATACGCTGCAACATGTTGAACTACTTGTTTCGCAAAGCACTTGTTTTGGGTTCCAGTGGAATATTTCCAGGAGGTGAAACAAAATATTCTTCCTCAGTAACTGAGGCATTAGCCAGTATTTCTGAACGACAGTTACCTTCAGTTACTTCATCTTCTCGAAGGTAGAGACATCTACATAACAAAATACACAATGTATTAGGCACATCTTGCATTTTAAACATTTCCCTAAGATCCAAAAAATGAATATATCTACCTGTTTTCCAAAACTGAGGTCATAGGCTCAACACCTGTGGTATCAACGGCACATATTTGATCTGCAAAAGCAATAGCTTCTTCCAATCTCTCTATGCCTCTTTCATTTGCAAAATCTACTAATGAAATTCTTTCTAGTTGTTCAATGGTTCTCTGATCAATATTTGTCCGAGGAGGTAATTTAGAAGTATAAATAGATGGTGTCACAGGCTTTTGAGGCACTTTAGATGAGAAGCATCTGTTTGAGAAAATGGGCAAAAAGTGGGAAGGGTTCTTCAAAGGTACAAGAAATTTCATAATTAATTTGACACTGCCCATGACCATCATACATTCAATGCAAGTCGCAAGTCACTGCAGTGTCGTCTCTGCGTATAGAAAGACCATTCGTGTTCTACAATTAACTATGGGTTGTTGTCATTCACTTATGAAAGCTTTAATGTTGTACTGAATACAACGTCGTACTGTTTTAAGGCATCACCGATTTTTCATACCATGGGTGCTACAAAATTTCTTTCCAATACCTGAAACAAGTTCATAATTCTTTTTATCATCACACGCAGACAATCATTTGAAAAGTATATAAATAAAGTTTTTTCCATAACGTAATTTCTGACGTGCACGTGTAGTACTGGCACGCGTACTGGCTATATACAGTAGCAAAAAGAGGACTAAAATTACATTAGGCAATGAACAGACGCATACGCCAAAAATAACGATGAACAAGGAGAAAAATCCGTCAGATGTTATGCACCCCCCCTCCCCCCAAAATGTAGATGAATCACGTCCTTCTGAGGGAATCTGATCTCAGGAAACTGACTCTATTGGGTTGTTTAACCATAACGTTAATACAGGTAAAACAACCAAATATAACCTTTATAGTACACTACCGGAACAGCGATGAAGTACCTGTCCTTGTTCCTTGTACGTCCTCCTCCAACACCTCACAGAAATACTCAACACGGTGCACTCGCCGGAGCACCTGTCGTCACCGCCAGTCACCGCTGGGTCACCGATTGTTCTTGCTGCAGCGAACGGCGGCCCCAGCCGGCTGATCTGCGGCTGATGCCCAACCTCCGGCCAGCTGTCGCTGCTTGATAACCAAAACTTATCCAGCTTATCCAACACAACGTCAAGAATGGCAGCTATCAATGCGTTTGTGGTGGCGTGTGGACTAGTTTATTTATTTTTTATTGCAGGACTACATAATTATATTACTAATTTTGAAGAAAATGGCTGTGAAATGACGTACATGTTCGAATATCCTCAATACGTTGTAAGTAAAAATTAAAATAAAATTCTCAAATAATTGAAAATAGAGAGGTTAGTTTGTGAATATTACCTCGTTTTTCATTGGATTACATTGCAATTAATTACTGAAAACACTAATGACATTTTCAAAAATTGTGATTACAATCATTATTAAATTTTTATTACTGGAAATGCTCATTTTGAACATTTTTAATAAGGAGAAAATTTAAATAATATTTTATACTTGTAATAATTTTTAATTGATTTTCAGAAAATCGCCTTACCACCAGATATTTCAAGCCAATTTTCTAGATATGGTTTGTATGCATATGGAGAAGGGAAACTGACAGATGACTTAAGGAAAATGAAATTTACTGGAATACCTGTATTGTTCATTCCTGGCAATAGTGGATCATATAAGCAAGGTATTCAACAACATGTGGATGTTTGTTATGAAACTAATTTAATCTTTTAAAATTATTATTAGTTTGTTTTTTTGTCTTTTTTTACAGCTCGCTCCTTAGCATCAGTCAGTTTAAGGAAGGCAATTAATTCACATTTGCCATATCATTTTGATTATTTTACTGTGGATTTGAATGATGAGTACTCTGGCCTTTTTGGTGGCATTCTGGAAGATCAAACTGACTTTGTTCATCATTGCATACTCAGAATATTGGAGCTGTATAGACCCAGTCCCTTTAGCCCTGTGTCTGTTGTTCTTATTGGACATTCAATGGTAAGCCTCATTAATGTCACTGACAAATGTATGAATTAATTATTATAAATTTTAATAAATCAATTAATTAATTTTCTAATTCAATTAAATGTTGGTAGAATATCTAATCATTCCCTCATGAGTGAGTTTAAATTTACTGTTGTGTACTACAACCACAATGAAGTGTACTTACAACCATAATTCAATAATATTAAGTATCATAAAATGAATATCTTGCCTTGAATATCTGCTCGGAGGAATGACTTTTAGTAAACAAAGTGATGTATTAATAGATCTTTTCAATGTCAAATTATTATTTCCGAACAAAAAACATTGTTGGGTGATTTAGTTTTACAGAGAAACATTATTTTGACAGTTTCAGCATTTAATACTGATTCTTTCAAAATATCAGAGATTGATCCACATTTGCACAGGCCATTTGGTTCGGCAATTGTAATGATTGTTTTAAATACATATTATGGATTCTGAATTTCTCCATGTAACTCTTCTTATTCTTTTCCAGGGTGGAATGGTTGCCAAGGGACTTTTCCTTAATCCACAGTTCAATCCTCGCTTAGTTGAAGTAATTATTACTTTAGCTACCCCACATAAGGCCCCTGTACTTTTACTTGATCGACATTTAGTTGATTATCATTCAAAAGTTGATTCGTTTTGGAGAGCACAAAAGAACAACAGCTCTGGCCATATTGGACATGTAACTCTTGTTTCTATTGGTGGGGGTCAGCGAGATATTCTGGTAAAATCTGTTCTGACTCAAGCAGAAGAAGCTGACATCAGTGTTCTGGTTGGTAGATTTTATTTTTTGTTTCAGTATCTTAGTTCCTCTGAATATTCTTGTTATATTTGCTTTTTTGTTAGCAAGTTTCAGTATCTGCTTTATAGACATTTTCTATCGTTTAGTATTTTAGATCATTTGAGCATTATTTAATAATGCATATTCGCGAGTCTCATTGTTTCAGAATTCCACTTCTTTTCATCATTTCGAAAGTATGAATTAGTAAAATAAAATAGCTATACTCTGGGTCTCATAAATCATATACTTTTTTAAGTATGTGCTAAGTATTTAAAAATGTTTTCACAAAATTATTAACTAAGTAGTTATTGTAGATTTTATTTTCAGAGTACACAAATTCCTGGAGTGTGGCTGTCAACTGATCACCTTAGTACACTATGGTGTAAAGAGCTCATATTGGTAATTGTTCGAGCATTATTTGACATTGTAGATGTGCGAAGTAAACAAATCTCTCACAGCCAGTGGGAGAGAAAGCATGCTTTTGAATATCATCTTTTGAAGGTAAATTTTTCAGAGACTTATTTGTAGATAAAGTAATATCTGAAGTAAGGACAGTAAAGTGGAAAACCAAGAACCAATCTTGAATAATGGAAATGTTTTTAATGATTAAAATTTGTTTTTAAATAGGAGGGGTATTAAAAAGAAATATGTTAAAAAGTAATATGGGTTAAAATTTAGTATATGGTACACCCTTAGAGACGCGTGTCTGCTGGGCTTAAGCCCTAATTACTGTACATGCTCTATTAGAAATGAATAAAACTTACAGGTAGACGATTTTCATGGTTCGCTCTTCATATGCTTTGTCTCAGCCGCATTGTAACGCCAATTTACTTTCAAAGGCAAGTTTTCTTCTGCCCTCGCGTTCACTTTAAACTTCTTTGAGTCTATCCAACGCATAATTACCAATTCACTTTTATAAAACATCACTTTTCAAGAAAGCATCCAGAATTCTAACCAGCTGAGTAACGCTGGAATGGCACGAAGTGCCAGTTTAAACAACTTCCTTAGGTTGTACCGTATACTACATTTCAGCTGTAATATGTATTAAAATTTACAAAGTCGCAAAGAATACATTATGTTATTCACATTTGGTTCTAATCACCACTTTCTTCCACATTCTTCTGCAAATGTAGGCAGGGATGGGCAAGAGACAAGATGTGGTGTCAGGCCCAAGTGTGCAAAAAACATGAGAATGATGTTTTACAGTTTTAAGAGGGCAAGCGCATTAAATCAAGTTATTAAATTTATTAAATCTTTTTGATGTTGCAGGTTAGTTCTGCCATAGACAGTTTTTTTCTTTTTCTATTTGTTAATTTAAACATTTTCATTATGAAACTGACCCCAGATAATTGAATTCCTAGATAGCACCAAATAATGGCAGTTCCACTGAATGGAAAATAAAATCTCCCTTTTTGGAGTGCCTTTTGTACCTCTTTTTTCCCCTTATACTTGCATTCTTACAACTGCATAGTGATTAGAAAAAATAATGATTGTACATGTTCCTTGAGGTTTGAAATGAGTTATATCAGGAATTGTTATTTTATCCACATTGTACCTCTAGTTATTAAAGATATAGGAGTTTTTATTTGGTGACAAGTTTACATAATATAAAGACTTTGATGCTTTAAAGACTATACTGTTACTTTTGGTAATATTGGAATCTAGTACTTAATGGAATGGAGAAAATTTATTTACACAATGGATTCTTTTGGTTGTAAAGCACATCTTATTCTGAAGTGGCCACTGACTAATGTACGTGGACACTGTCTAGCGTAAACTTGACCATTGAACTGACTTCATTGTTACAGACAGTAAGCATTGTGAAAAAGAGTGTGGCATTTGTCTCTCCTGAACTCATAGATTTCAATCATTTTGAACTGCTGGTGAGAGTGGTGGGATTATCATCAAAAGAGACATTTCAGTGAATGCAAAACATTTTCATTTCTTTTTATTATAAAAAAATCAAAGATGTTAAATGATAATAACTTGGTATTTAATTGATGCAAAAAATTATATTCAATGTGTCATCAATAGGAATATGATTTTTATGCCCTAAAAAATCTTCAAATAAGCTTTTGAAAATAATACATTTATGACCTAAAAATTCTGAAATACATCCTTTAAAATCCAATTAAAATTAACAATATTTCATTTCCTGCATAAAACTCCTGATAAAATTCAAGAGAAGTGTGCTTGGAATGTAAAGATATATTTTGTGCAAACATAATATAATCTACCCTACTTTGTGAGAGAAATAATTGCGGTAAATATGCACCTTAGTGAAGTACGTTGTATGTCTTGTTGAATTTCTTCCGACTGATTTAAAAAATATGTTCTTAAGAATTATAGTACCTTTGTACAAATATTTTATCATCTGCAGAAATTACAAAAATGCAAACTGTGACAAGCTCTTTCGAATCAATGAATGAACAAACAAATAGATTCTATGTAAAGATGAAATGTTAAGAGTATATAATGATAGATAAGTCTATATTTTAACAAAATACGACCCTGCAATTATGTGAATATGTACCAACAGGAAAAATCATCCAAATATGTATAAATATGCATTAACTTGTTAATCGATATCATATTCTAACCAAAGTCAAGAAATTTCACTTAGCTTTGCACTGAAGCAACGGATAAAAATGTGCAAAATCATAGCAGTTCTTACCCTTGACATTAGTGTTCAGGTCTCAAAAATTGTTTGAGATTTTTGCAATCTGGTGAGCGCATCACCCTTACCCAAACTAATCAAAGAGTTTTAGAGTTCTCATTTTGCAGATTTTAACATGAGAAACATAATTTGAGGCCAATAACCTCGAAAACCAGGTTTCAAGGTTTTAGGACTTAGTTTTTGAGTTGAGTTGATTTGACCTTGATTTTGAGGATCCTATCATCATAATTTTTTATATAAATGGCATTTGGTGCTCTCAAGTAGAGAAAATGAAGTGTCAAAAGAAAGAGAATTTCAATGAGAGGTGAAGAATTTAACTTTTGCTTTCATAAATGTGAATTCCTTTAAAAATAACATTGGAAGCAGGAAGAAAAACCAATCCACAACACACCAGCCACATACATTTCCTGACACATTGATCTCTTGTACACAATATAACCCAAATACCTTGAAACCTATTTTTTGTGATCATTGGCCATGAATTATGTTTCTCATGTCATAATTTACAAAATAAGAACTCTTGAGATCTTCAATTACTTTTTGTACGGTTAGGATCTTCAAATGTGCAGAATCTCAAATTTAGAGCCAAGTTTTTCCACTCATTACACCCATTTTAAAGCATTCATGTTTCCACCTTCTCTTTGATCTGATTCAATTTAGCCTTTCATCCCCAAATAGCTGATTGCTACATTCCCTTTTTGTCACAAAACGTTATATACCTCTCATTTGCCTGTAACCTGTGCAAATTTGGATTATTGCTGTGTCCTCAATGTAGTTGTCATTTGAGTGTTTTCTCACCCTCTTTCATTTATTATTCTAAACATGTCGTTATTCCTCCATACCTATTCAATATTTTAATTTCTGCCAAAGAACAGTTTTATTTTCTTTCCATCCTGTATTAGTCATACATAATACTCTGAGGAAATATTGCTGAACATTTATAGTATTTTGCTCTTCTCACTATTTTTCTTAAGCAGTGATACAATCAAGCTACATTTTCTGTACAATTGTCTTGTTTTTAATTTGAAAGTATAATTAAGATTTTAAAAACTTTCAGTGTAGTGTACTTCTATGAGGAACATTCTCTGATTTAATTATTAAAATAATCACCTAATTTTATGATGTCATTTTATATTTTTGTCTCCATCAATACAATAAATAAATGTATATATAAAAGTTGCTTATGACATTATTTGACAGTTATAATTATTGGACTTGACACTAATTGCCATCTTTACCATCATCTGCTTTGATAAATTATTTTAGTGTTTGAGAAGCAAGTGAGTTTTCTTGACTGAGAATTTTCAGAATATCCTTTAAATTTTTTTCTTGCAGAGAACTGCTGGGAAACGCCTTGCCCTTGCTTTTCATGGCCGAGAGACTGTTTTTAACCCTGATGGCATGTGGAATGAGTATTTAAGAAGGCAGTTTTCAGTTGTGGAACCGTATGGTGTACCCAGTGTTATGTATGTAATGATTCGCCTTGTGGATGATCCAAAACATGAATGGTTACTTGCAGAAGCAATTAATGTGGAAGCAAATGATTGGGTTTTTGCCTGCACAGCAAATGAAATACGTGGACCTTCTAGAATTTGGTAAAATATTTATTTTAATTTTTGTGATATTCAGAAGAGTGTATGTATGATTCTGTAAAACAGTGTAGGTGTCAGTTTGTAGCTGACGTTGGTATTGACATTGATTTTTTGACTAAAAGGCCATGGTCCAGTCAAAATATTCTTCCAGACATATCACATCACCTGTGGTAGACACTTTCATTGTTAGAGGGACAAAGGACGTTGAACCTTCCAGGACATCTCTGGCTCCTGGCTCTGGCAGCCACCCAGGTGCTGACCAGGAGGATGCAGTGCTTTTCCCTTACCTCACCAAGTATGAAGATGTCTGTAGCAGGTCAAAATGGAAAATTTATTTGGACTGGACCATGGCATTAATAGCAATATCAGTATAAGTAATGCCAATCAGTAGAACAAAATAATTTTCATTTGTGTTAATGGATTTTCAAATTACACTTGGAAAGTATTTTAATAGTTGATGCATTTACATTTATCTACAGTTGTACTTTTTGTAAATTGCAGTAACTATGGAGTAAATCTCTCAAACCAAACTCGATTTATGCCATCCACCACTTTGAAGCGCAAAATTGTGTATCTCCATCTGAGAGAAATTAAAAAATTGGGTTTTTCACATGTAATACTACGTGTATTACCCACCAGAGAAATGGTAAGATTGCTTTTACATTTTACCATTGTGTTTTATATTAATGAATGTTCCTATGTTTCATGATTGATTCAAGTAATTGTATTTGTAGGTCCAGATAAATGTTGATATCCATTCTTCAGCTCGGAAAGTGAATATTCCTCTTCCCCTTATGTTACGTGTTATGAAACACCAGCCAATAATAGAAAGTACAGATGATGGAGCCTTACATTATTCATTAGCACTTCCATCTTTTGAACATATTTGGCAAGCTTATTATCTACACATATCGCCATATTCTTGTCGACTTGCCACTCATCATGCAATAGGTATAATGCACGTCCCTTGGAGTCAGGAAGATTTGTATGTGAAGATCAAGTAAGAATTATGTAAAATATTTGTACTTTGAATTGTAGTTCGTTAATTTCCATTTCAATGTATTGTTTTGAGTATGTACATTTTGTCACATGTATAGTAAAACTATATTTCAGCGAATTGGTGGAGAAACCAATGCAGTTAAGGTTGCAGACAGCAAGACCTCTTAATAATAAAGGTGATGGCCCTGTTGTAGTAAATCTTATTTTGGATCCAACTTGCCGATATTCTATCAGGTATTTTACTTACATCAATTTTCTTTTGAAAGTGACTCAAATAAACAAGACTGTTCATGTTTAATTGACCTAGGTTTTTAATATGAGCAATTTTCTGAAAATCAGTTAAAAATAATTGCAAATATAAAATACCATTTACTATTTCTCTAGCCTGAAAATCCTGATTCTCCTATATTTCTTTAATTTAAGTTTTTCAAATCCATAGTCCAGTGTTTTGTACCCTACGCTGCCAATCCCATCTCAATCAGGTTTTTGTCGTTACCCTGATCCTGGAGCAAACGTTGAGATGGCCCCTTGTTTTGCTTCTGGACATAAATGTTACTTCAAATTAACTTCTCCCATAGCACGTCACACACAATTTTTAACTGTTTTCGATATAAATAAATAAATAAATCCCAATTTTTATCTTCCAGTATTCAAAGTGCTTTGCTGGACAGTCTTGGCCAAATAGTACGGTTTTATGGGCCAATGATATTGCCATATGTAGCTGCAGTATTGCTTCTTACATTGCGTTCTCAAATGCTGAGTCTTGCTGAAACAAGAAGTTGTACAATGTTTCATTCAGCATTGGCATCTGGTGCTAAACCATATTATATTTTACCCATTGTTAAAATGGCATCTCGTGTTCTTAGGTAAGTTTTTGAAACGGAATTAATAATATCATGGAATGATTTTCTCAGAATAGTTCTATGGAGTGAAAAGAATTTTTCTGCATCTCTATATGTTAATGTTTAAGAAACTTTTTCTTTGTGTGCTCATTTGCAGTGTAGGGTTTCTGTTAAAGTTAATACAAAGTGGAATAAAACAATTTGATCCAGTGACTCTAGTGGAAAACAATTTGGACTTCATCCTGTTACCTTTTGTTTTATACATGGTGGCTTTTGCTACGGCTTATATAATTGGTTTAGCATGCTGGTTAGCTGTAATTTTCAATGGAACTGCTGCCAATAAAATTGCTCTCAGGTAATTATTATTTTTGTAATTTCATTTTGTTTTTCAGTGAACAGGGCAATTAAAGTCATGTTGAAAATTGTAACTGATTATACCAGATGTCATGTAGTATTCAAAGATTTTCATTTAGTGCAGATAGCTTAATTAATCTGAACAATTATGATGTTGACAAGTTTTTAAGAACAGTATCAAGAGTAATGGTTGACATAAATTTACAATTTCCTGCAGGTTTCTTGCAAGAACTATTACTGGTACCATTATGTGGTCAGAATGGATGTTGGCTGGATTAGCAAAATTACCAATAACAGCAGCTGGTTTTCTTATTGCTCTCAGTTATAGCACATGTGGTGCCCTGAGCTTGTGTGTGGGAGGAGCATTTTACTTCTTAAAGGTAATTCTGACATAATGGTAAATCTTTGCAAAGCAAAAGATTATTTTAAAAAATATCAATATTTATTATGTTAAATTTTAATAAATTTGAAACTGGTAATAATATGAACTTGTATACATGAATTTCTGATGCTCAACCTTTCTTTATTAGTTGTGTAAAATGTATGAGGAGTATTTAGAAGAACTTTTCAAATTCTCCATATACTTACTGTCAAGATTCAAGAAAGGAGGAAAGAGCAAAAGGAAAGAGAAGGAAGAAGAGCCTGAAAATAAAGAGAACGAACTCAACAGAATACCAGAAACTGTAAATGCTAATGATAGTGAAGATGAGAAAGATAAAATAGATTCTGTGGACGAGAATGAGGAAAAAAATGAAGAAAGAAAAGAAGAGAAAAATAGTAATGGTTCAAAAAAAGCTGAAGAACAAGAGAGAGAAAGCAGTTCAAAAACAGAAGAAGAAAATCGAGAAGTCGTCAAAAAGGAGACATCTGAAAACAAAGATGATAAAGATACAAAAGAGAACAAAAATGCTGAAGAAAAGAGTGATCAAACAAATAGTTCAGCATCATATTCACTATCAGAATTACATTTTAACTTTACATTGTTGTTGTTATGGGTCACTGTGACTGTTGTCAACATTCCTGCTGTTTTAGTCTGGGCGCATAATTATGGGTAGGTTTGAAAAGTTATTGTAGTATGATTTTTTAAAAGTAGTGTGCCTTATTGATTTAAAGCTCAACTATTTTACAAATTCTTGGATGTAATTTTTATTTTCAGATACAGTACAAAATTACAACCAGATCCATCATTTGAAACTGGAGTTGTGTTATGTTTTTGTGTTGGAGTACTTTGGCAAAAGAAAGCTCCCAATCCTCACTTGTAAGTATTTATATATTTTGTCTCTACTTTGAAATATGAATATATGAAATATGAGTCTTTTTTCCTGTTGAACTGTACAATAATGCATCACTAATTTTTGTGGAGAAAGTCTGACCTTGTTTTTAATCTTAATTGTTTTGAATGTACAGTAGAACCTTGCTAATCCGAACTTTGCAAATCCAAAATTTGAGATAATCCGAACAAAATTCAGGATTGAGGAAATATAAACATAATCAATAAAATGCTTATTTGTAGTGTAAAGAAAGAATTTTATAATTACTGAAGAACTAAACAACTAATTATTAAAAAACAAATTTTCAAAATAATAATAATAAACTTTTAAAAATAAATAAATGTTTATTGCACTGGTAACTACAGTGTGTATCACAGGTTTATGTAGGAGTAATTTTCACTTAGAAGAACTTAGAAAATCTGTAATCTTCTTTTTCCGTAAGAAACTGAATCTGCTTTATGATGCAATCACTACACTACATTGCCTTTTTCTCACATCACATGCTACATTGTATTGTCTGGTAATCCATATTTGTATATGTAAGTTGTATTTATGTATGTTATTTTTTCTGGTATTCCGGTTATTTTTTCTGTTATTCAAATAGACCATTCCTCCAATTAGTTTGGAATACCAGTGTTTCACTGTACTTGCAAGTTAGTGTTGATGTTTACGTCAAGAATTAGTGAAAAATAACCTAACATCGTTAAAAATAAAACAATAGAAAAATAATGAATCATAGAAATGGTTTGCAGCCATTTAAGTTCAATACAGTTCTTGCTAGGGGAGTGTTATGTAACAAAAGAGAGATCATGAAAATTTCAATGTCTTCTGTTGTGAATTGTGAAAAAAGTGATTTTTTATTTAACAGATTCTTTGAACTGAAATTGAAAATAAAACCCCAAATAATTTAACAGATTATTTTATCTTTATTAGAACTACAACCTTTTTATATTAAGCGTGGTGAACTAATAATTAAAATAATTTCTTAAGTTTTAAACCTCCTCATCTTCTTGTTTTAATATAACTTGTATCCATTTGTAATCAAAATAAATGCTTTAATACAAGTTAATTAATTTTTTAACATAGGAATCTTTCTTTTTATAGGAAACACTATCCAGTTGTGGGACACATGTTGTATCTACTTGCTGTGCTCATTTTGATCTTCAGCACATTATCTTTGCATCATCTAAGCCCATTATTGATGATGGCATTTGTGATTGTGACAGTACATCAGATGATTGCTGAGTCTTTACCAATTGAAGAATCAGAGATACCCAGTATTGACACAGAGATCCTTGATGAAAAGGCTGGCACTAATTTACCTTTTCCATCCAGTGAGAAGCCTAAACAAGCATAAAGGAATTTCATTACAGGATTATGAATGTATAGCTTTATATTTATGCTGCTTGCAAGATATTTGAATAAAAACCTTTTCCATGACGAAGAAAGTAATATATTTTTAACAATGAATATTGATGAAAATGTGGTTGTTTAAAAAGAAGAATAGTTACCAGATACTTTTTTTTATAGAACAGAACACTGAGTTTATATGAACAATTCTACAAATGTAATTCCACTGGGAATTAATACATTCAGTGGGTCTGTATGAGTTTATAAAGGGTAAAAGAGACCATAAGCACCATAGGACAAAAGACTTTCGTAACATTTTTGAAGATATCAGTACACAGTTGTATATTTTTTGTCAAAAAAATGAGGCGAATTGTGTTCATAGCTATATTTATTGTAGTGTAACAGAAATGTGCTAGATTCCTTGTTATAAACAATAATTCAAGGAGGGAAGAACAAAATAGTTCCTAGGTTTGTTTAATTTGTGTTACCTAAAACACATTATTTCTAGGCTCCAAGATTCTAACCTACTAGAGTATTAGGGCATACTTCTGGGTGTGCCTTTGACAAGTGTGAAGTGTAAATGTGTAGAGTACTACTTATTTGATAAAACAAAATGCAGTGACAAGGTTGTACAATTATTTATTTGATCTAGTCTTCTAATTGTACTATTTAATTATACTTTTCCAAAGTAATCTTTTAATTCTTTTGTATGTTTGCCGTCATTCTTTCTCTGTACTAGGTATTTGTAATTGTGTAAATATTTCGTTCAGCTTTTTAATATTTAACACATTATGTTTTTTCAACAAAAAAATTGGTGTTCACGTAAAAAATTTATATGTACCAGTATATAATAATTGATGCATAAAAGGTTTTATTTTAGTTCTTACAAGTAAATTCTCAAAATTCATGAAATATTTATTAAATGATTTTGATTGAGTACTTACGGCAAGGTAAAAACTGATGAATGTAATTGTATATTACATTTACAATCATTTTGTATCGCTTTTTATATTTAATGTTCAATAATACTTATAAGAAATGGTATGAGCCTGTAAATCACTTTATGTGAAGTTCATAATTTGTACCTGTTTGTATTGTTAATACAATCTAATCTGGAATTCTTTAAATTATATATTTGAGCTTCCATGTTATCACTGGCAAAAAGATGTAATGACATCCTTTAAATGGAAAGTAAAGGAAAGTGGAGTTAATGAGGAAACCACTGAAGAACAATTAATGACTATAACTTTGTTACAGTTTTTTAAGTATGTTGACAGATATCTTTTTATATTACAATGAAGTAATGCATAATATTATGGAAAATAAAAGTTTACCTTGTTCTGCTTGAACAAAACTGAATTTAAAAAATGTGTTATTTTTTTTAATATTTATCAAACCGAAATTAAGCTGAGCCCAAGAAACGAACAATTGTATACAATAATCAATTCCGTTTTCTCAAGAGGGAAATTTGGTGATTTCTATCCAGGCATTTGGTGGGGATGAGCCAGTGAAAGGTAGAGGGCGAAATCGTGTGGTTACTAGAAACGACGGTAGAGGGCAGAAAGAGCGCTCTAGTAGGTACTGGTTCTCCCCTGCAGGTAGCAGTCGTGCATCAGACACCAAAATGGCAATGAGTCTGTGTTTGACGTTGAAGTTGCCAGCCGAAGAATGTGAATATATCAGTTGCATGTCGTGAAGGAGAAAAAATTGTTGCTGATTTAGATGTAGTGTTTTACTGTATTTATACGCTGTTAATATTTTGTAGTATTTTTGTAAAGAATTATGATTTTTTACGGAGTTAGTTTGGTTGTCCAGTGCGATTTTGCTGCATTTGTGCAGTATGCTAGTATCCAGAGCTAATTGTGAAAAATAGGTAAACATTGTGAACAGTGTGATGATGGAGAGATTTCTGCAGCTCCTTAGTCTATTCGTGAGTTTGGATATATATGACGTGTGCCATGGATATCCCGTGGATTTACATTTGTCAGGTGAGTAAGCCAAGATGAGTGGAATGAAATTAATTGTACATTTATAAGTTTACGCAGTTATGGTGTACTAACATGATTTCTTCATCATTTGCGCGTTTTCTGTGCCCCTCTGATTCCTATTGTGTAGTGTACCATCACTTATCCACAATCAACATTTCTCGCAAATTAAACACTTGGATCGTGTCCAGCAGTGTACAAAGGGCGTCTCTGAGTACGCTTATTTGACTGGTTCAATTATGTTTTAATTTTGAAATATAAGAAAGATCAAGAATCTGGAGACACTTGTGGTTTAAAGTATTGTTTACATTTCATCATTCATTAGTACTGTTATTAGTCGCTTCCTTGAAAACTGTATTCTTTCTGACTGCTAATAAAATGACATAGAAAGGATAGCAATTCAAACTAGTTTTATGTGTGCAGTAATTTAAATACATTTGGAAGAGGATTCTTTTAAAAAATTTCCTGCACATGGTACGTTATAGAAGACGTGGAAACAGTGCGCATTTCTGTAGTTTTCTTCGATGTCCTTAAATTCTTGATGAATAAACCAATATTATTTTAAAGCCCGGATTCAATTAACTTCGTCTCTAATTGAATTTCGCAGACACACAGTTTTGTCTCCGTTTGCAACTCGTATGCGAACCGCGTCCGCTAGTGCTCGTCAACGCACACAGGCTTGGCGGCTTCGCTTGTCAAGCACTCTGGGAGCGTCGCTCTCCTGCAGCCCGCTCGCACAAAAACGCTCGGCGTTTCGCTCCGCCGCGCTCGGCTACCGGCGACCGACGCTGGACGTTCGGTTCTTGCGCCCCGCCCGCGCAACCCACGCCGGCCAGCGCGCGGAGGCCGGCGGTTGTCGCAGCCGCGGCTCTCCTCGCACACCCATTCACACACACACACATCTTTCTTTCTCTCTCTCTCTCTGTCCCTCTCTCCCGGCCCCGCGCTGGGCGATTTCCGGCCCAGGCCTCGAAGGGCTTCCATGGCGGTCGAAGGCCGATATTACAGCGGTGGTAAATAAAAAGGTTGGCCATTGTCATCAATATGAATATTTTCTTATAAACTACTCGATTTGATTCTTCAGGACGCGTTATTGTCGCCTGCGCGAGATTGCGAGAATTCGTTCGGCATCTGTTCGAGGCAGTTGCAACTTCCCGTAAATCGTAATAAAGAGTGGACCACTGCGCGTGGCCCGTGGCGGTGGTAGTGAGCGCGACACAACCTCGTTAGTCGGTTGTCGGCCGGGCGCGCCTCGGAGGCATGTTAGGCGCCGTGTCATTCACCCTGGAAGCGGCGTTACTTTTGACCTGTCAGCAAATGAGTTTCGCAGTCTGCGATTCCTTCTGCTGCCCAGTGGTTTGGAATGCACGCATTGGGACAGTCGAAACGTGTCAGGATTCATGCTTCGTATGTGGTTGTCCTGTTCAGTTTTTTGGCAGTACCGCCCGCACGTGCTTTTGCCTCGAACCTTTCAGCCCAAAAGAAAACGTCTTATCAGCATTACAAGTTGCAGAAGTACGAACAATGTTGAGAATTATTATGCACGGGCAGGTCGAAGGACTTGCAGACGTAAAGCAATATTTTTTTCATACAGTGACAGTGTATTGAAATCCATTCTATCAACAGTCGAGAATGACGAACGAGCGTACTAGAGAAAGGGGAATGAAGATCGAGATGAAAATGTTAGAACAGGTGTAATGAGAGAGCCTGCGCTTCTCCATGTAAATCTTCTACGAATCATGATCTCAAGATATTTGAACGCCAATCCCAGACGTTGAAATGTGAGCACGGTATTCGCTTGATGAAGGGAAGCCTTTCAACAATATTTCATGTCCACGTGCTTTGTCGTTGATGTATCCCCAAACCTGAATTACGTTGTTTTTATATTAAGCAAACTCACGCATGCACAGAGGCGCTGGCGGGTTGATGTGTCTGAGTTAAGTGGATAGACAAGCCATAGATTCAGAATAATGAAGTGAAGTGATATTGACCTCCTTTACCCGCAGAAGTTAATAATTTAAAAAGCAAACTATTAGAATGGCTCAACAGTTGTACGTATTATTAGAGAGGAAAGGAGGTTTCCCGACGTTTCGGCAGTAGGCAAGATACGCACTCGCAGAAGTATAAAGAAATTAGACTAAAAAAGTTTGACAGGTCGGAAAACAAAACAGTCTTGTTGGATGAAGGCTTCGCAAGAAGTTGAGTCTAAAGCACTTACAAGTACTGCAAACGAACGCATTAACTAATTTAGCACACGGGCATAACCTGCAGTTATGCTACCAGTAGTAGTCGTTAAAAGCGGTCCCTTTTTATAATAATTTCTCTTGTAGATGAGGTCCACCAAGTATTATGTCTTCTGTCTGCGACGAGGGCATTCTGTCTTGGGAAGTCCTCCGATTCTCCATTCGGATATGCATTCCGTTTGTTATGAACCATGCAATCGAGCCAGCAGTATGCGCAGTGGACCGTCATGCAATTAGGTCGGACCAACTCTTAATATTCTTCAGAGACTGGTTGGAGGAAAATCGGAATTCTGCTCTATTTATAATGACTCGTTGCTTGTACAAATGTTTTAAGAATGTCCAGATAGTTTTGAAATAGAAACGATGTAAAAGTTTGAAGCCATGGAGTCTCCAAAGGTCTTAAATCTCCAGGTACTAGAATTTAGACATTTGGAAAGTCACTCCCGCGGCGATCAATGGCCTGGTGTGTTAAGAAAATTTTTAATTATTTCTGATTTGGCGCTTTCGTAACCGCCATAACATGTACAATAATATCCCGTTATTCGATTCGTATATGCACTAACATGGCCCAAAGACCGCAAGCAATGGTACTGTCAACTCGAAACACTATATATATATATAT